GTGAAAACCAAAACGAGTGGATTTCAGTGCAGACTTTCAGAGATAAGCTAATATACGTTTTATAACTGCTCTTAGTGAATTTTTCATATGTTAACTTACCCATGTAGTCTCTTTAATCCATATGTAATTTTGGCACCTGCAAGTATGTAGTCTTATTGGCCTTGACCTTTCAAAAGCTTCTATCTGTATGCATGTTTTAAGGCAACAATTCTAAAATCCCAGTGCTCAACACTACATGGTCCATGTTATGTGTGCTGCTCCTTCCCTCCAGGTATTGGAGACTGTCATCTGCTGAGAGTGACAGCATCATTTCTCAGAACAAAGGGAGAGGGCAGAAATTAGATGCTTGGCAAACACTATACAAACCATACTGGAATGGCTCAAGACTACATTTTGTCAAAATCTCAATCTCCTATGTATTTTATGTATCTAGTGAACATTCATGTGGAAAACTCAGCATTTCTTGCTTTTCCTGTAGTCACCTGGTTGGCCTGGTTGGATTTTATGCAAACTGTGCATCACAGATCACCTTGCCAAAACTACCTATCAGATCCTATTAACAAATTATTATGCAGCCTTGTGTTACAGAACCAGCAAAAAAGATGTATAAAGAACCCAACATCCATAATTTTTACACTTTCATAAAATCCCAATTCAAGGGATTTAACTCCTTATTTTATTTCTCAGGTTCATAACATCCTCAATAATTTCTGATGGATTTGTCCTCACTGCACCACTGTTTATGCTGGAGTCAGATTGGTAAGCAGAAGAGCTGTGGTTTTGCCAGAACTTAAGTTTGTGTACAAAATCCAAACCCAAATCTGTGCCTGTAAATAAAACTGTAAACAAAACCCTGCAAAACAAACTCCCACAGCATGAGCAGAGATGGCATACAGTAAGCAGAATATTCTGCCCCATTTCAAGAGCCACGAGCACTGCTGGTCACACCCTTCTGAATGATCAGTGCTGACTCCAAAGAGGCCTCTGCCCTTGTCCCTGTGCCAAAGCTGTGCATACTCACTGCACACACACCCCAGGTGGCTCTGCAAGCACTGCAGCTTCAGTAAGGGGCACATGATGCTTAACAAGAGCTCAGGGTGTTTCTTTAGAAAGTAAAAAACTCATCCATTTTCACTATTCTGTGAACATAGAGAAGACAGGAAACAGGTAGTTAGGTAGTTAGACCTGAGGCTGGCTCAGGTCTAACGTATCCGTATGGTGCAGGGCAAGGCCTGGGCTGGTGTCCCTGAGAGGCAGTGACAGAAGAGGAATGCTCCTTCAAGAAGACACAGCAGAAAGACAAACTATCGAAATTGCAACAATGAGGATGAATTGCAGGGAACTCAGATATCTGAGGGAATGAGAACCAACTGACTTGGCTACAGAGAGATTACAGAAAGTGCAGTGTGTTCTGTGCAGCTGCTCAAGAACAAATGAACTCCTTGTGTTTGACCAGCACCTCTCCAGCGCTGCCAATGCTTGAGTGTCCCTGCACAGCCTGCACCAACATCCACCTACAGGAGAAGCTGTGGTGGAATGCCGCTGTCAGCTCTGGAGCACAGATACATTTAATCCAAATTTTGTCCTAAACCTGCAGTCATTCTTTGAATAATGACATCAATACAAAGAGCTTTTGCAGTAGGTGAACTATAATATAGACAATGAGTTGCAAAGTCTGGTGTGCCAATTGCCAACTTCACTATTATTCTCTCCTCTCTGGAATTCTGTAACTGAAAACCTGGTTCAGAATATGTAATAAAGAATTGGGTAAATAAAAATTCGGAATAAGAAGTTTAAATAAAGTATGTATAATTATAACTAAATGTAAGTATGGAATAAGGAATTCTCCTCCCGGTCGAGATAGAATTCCTTCTGCTTAATGAAGGGAGGACCATATGGAAGGGTCCTGAGTGTAAAGACAAGGAGCAAACAAATTTTTTAAAAACTGTATTCAGTGCAAAGTCAAAATTAATAAATTGCTTCCTCTCAGATATTTTGCTTTACAAAACTTCAAAGATTCTCCCAATGCCCTGGTAGCTGACATTCAAAACAAAAACAGACATCAATTTCTTGGCCCCTAGAGATGTCTAACAGCTCTGTGACCCCCCCACACCCCTTTCCTGCCCTCAGGGAAGAGTTTGTAAGCTATCAGCTTACCCCCTGAAAAGAGCACACTAGGACTCTACTGTAAGACTGCCCCTTTGTAGGGGTCCCTCAGTATTCTGGCTCCATACGTTAATGGGGTTAACAACCTTGTTTTCTGTAAAAAAACATCTTCCAGCTACAATACATTTTGCTGGGATTTGTTCGGAGCACTCATCCTCTTTTTCCTTATCTTCAGTTTCATTTGCTGCAGCAAAGACTGTGCTGATGCCTCACTCTCTTTCACTGAAGAACTTCAAGGCTTTTATCCTAACCTACCATGACCCTGCATTTTGGCATTTCTAAAATGCCCAGCTCCTCCACAGAGCATCTTTCTGTAGCTGGCTTCACTGTGTTACCCATGCTCTAAGGATGCGATCCCTGAAAGCAAATAACTCATGAATTGCCTTCAGGCTGCAGAGTTAGGTGGAGCTGAAAGGCACAGAGTGAGGCTGTGACCAGCAGGAACTAGGGACCATCCTGCCATCCCAGCTGTACACCAGTCCTCTGAAGCCATTACAGATTACTGGGCACTACCCTGCCTGACTTCGGCTTTACAACAGCAAGAGCTCTTCTGACGACACCAGAGCTGGGGAGTGACCTTTGAAGCCTGCACAGAACTGCACTTTACCTATTGGGGCTGTGCTCACATCAGTCTTACGTGTAAGTGATAAACTTACTGCTAAATTTTGTATTTTCTTGGTAAGTGTACAGAAAAGGCTTTAGTATGTTTTGAAACACTGGCAGCTTCTTAAGGGAGTTCAGCATCTCCTTTAAGAAATTACATTATGATTTTCTTAAGAGGCTCTAGAAATACTGTGACAGTTGTCACCATCCACTACTGTGCTGAGAGGCAAAAAATCATGCAGAAGCTTTTAACTCTTAACTAACTGATATGTAACAAATCATGTTAAACTGTTCCAGAGACTGATGTATAACCTCACAGTTAATAAATATATTTTCATTGATTTCAGCAAGTTGTACTTTGGGGCATTACTTACTGGAAAAGAATATCAGCAGTAAATACTGAACAAGTTAACTCGTTATTCCACTTGGACTTTTGGTAGAAAGTAACCAGGTAAGTAAGTTTCAATACTTTCTGCTTTGCATCTGACAATAGTATTGAAAGATGAGTATTTGCAGTAGAGTTTATTACGTTTTCAAGTCCTTACTCTCTTATTTCTATCCATTTCCAACTTTTTTAGTTCCAGTCTACACGTCTTCCACAGCCTGTCTGAACTAAACAAGAACACAGAATGGAGCGAAATCAGTTCACTGTGGGCTACCTGGAAATGTGATACGTACACATTATGCTCCTTGGTTTAATTACACTCTTTACCATTTAACTTCAGTGTCTACATGACTGTTGGTCAAGAACTTCCCTTGTGCTGGCTCTGCCCTAAAATTCCTGTTTCATGATGTCCTCACAAAGAAAGGCTCACAGGCAACAACTGAAGGAGATAAGTACATTCTGCAGAATATCTGCTACCCACAAATCAGCTGGGAGCTCCTCAGTACTGGGGAATCTTCTGAGTGACACAAGTACAGGAAACAACTCTGCATCGAGTCTACAAAGTCATGGCTTTGGGCAAGGCTGCAAAGTAGGTTTGAGGCTAGTGAAAATGAAATGGGACAGGTTTAAACAAAGTGGGTGAGCCCACACCCACGTACACCAACCGAGAGAGACAGGAGCAGAGTTTCCCATCCTAAGAAACCAGTGACAAGACCTCTGGAGAAGGGAACCATGGATGCTCAGAACAGAAACTGCTTTGGAAATTACATCACTTGTACTCTACGTGCTGACTGACCAATACCTTAAGATAAAAGCTCTTGGAATTTTTTACAGTATTTTCTTGTTACTAATCTCATCACTTCCTATGTGCAAAAGTACTTCCAAGTGTTACAGTATATAAAGAAATAAAAGATTTCAACTTGTCTAATTTTTTTTGTACAATTCTCCAGTAATGATAAAAAGCAAGTCTAAAAAGAAATTTTGATACCTATAATTAGTTGAAAATGTAATTGCACTTTCAAAACCACTGTGGAAACTACCAGTGCAATATTCAAGACATAAAGCTCTATGACTAAAAAAAAATTAAAGCAAAAACAAAATGAAAGATCCCAAAACAAACCAGAGAGGTCAGGAATCCTTACTGTAACTCATTAGCTAAGCATCCTCTCCTTGAAAGGTAAGTCTTTTTTAAAAAGAGTGTACAAGCACAATGGCTGTGATGTACTAATTTAAAATGCTTTCTTTTCTGAAAAAGATAGATATGTTTGATGATCATTATATTCACTGTGTAAATAAGGCTTTATTTCACTGTGAATCCACATAAATCGCTGTAACACTATATTGATCTTACCTTTTAACTTCCACTCTGAATTGTCTGACCAGAGAGGGAACTGGAAAAGAACCTCTCTGCCAGCACAGTCAATCACTGCCTCCACTGCCAATCCAGTGGAAACTCCATGTCATTAAAAAGCCAATACCCCATGGATTTTAGGACATTTCTTTAAAATATCACCTCAGACTAACTAGTGCAAAAACTAAAGAGGGAGATACTAAAAAGTAACTCATCTAGAAATAAAAACCCTAATAATATTAATCAAAATTAGAAACAGTAATGGAAAGGAAAAAAAACTGTCATATTTCAAACTGCTTTACAGCTGTTTGATATTTATTTTACCAGTTCTTGTTCTATAATGTATTTTGAAGTTCTATATAATGAATTTTTAACCAAGAAACACATTTTCTGTCATCTAGGCCACAGACATTTGAATCACCAACTTGCACTGGCACATTTGCATAAAAGCAGTTCACCTCTAAAATTCATGTGCTTCAATGACTGCTTTCTCACCTGAAGTCCTGCGGCTCCATACGGGGTGGAGGCACCATTCTGCTGCTCGGGCCACGTTTGAGGGCTTACAGGAACACATTCTGTCTCTGTGGGACAGACTCAGCTGATGGAGTGCTACGGAACATGGTGCAGAAAAACTCTAAGAGAAAAACAAGAGTTAGCACCATTAAGTGAAAAATTGTTGTCTGAAAAACAGTGCCTATATGGGTCAGGGAGAGACAAAAATAGGTAATGAAACACAGGAATCTTGCATACTGCATATTTATTTACATATTACAACAAAATACTGCCTTTCCCAATTCTCCTCAACACAGTGGGAGAGATCTTCATACTTTAACCTCTTTTAAAAAAACAACTCACCAGTTTGTTTAATGTCTTTTACTATATCAGCACAGGACTATCATCAACTGGGGTATATTGAGAATTTAGAAATTTTTAAAATAATAGAAATAATAGTAACATATAATATCACCTGGTTGATGTTTTTTAAAACCCATCTTTAAAAAATAATAGTATTTTGGCCTGCAAAAGACCAAAAGACAAAATACAGGGCACTTTTTTGTGATTTCTACTGATCCTATTATTATTATTTACCCAATACTTAAAAAAAAAGTTGTATTTTAAACTGTGACTTGCTTCATTGCTTTCAGAAGTCTCTTTCAGCGCAAAGAACTGTTTTTCAGAACTTTGCCTATAATGAGACTATTAGTCATAAATGAAGACAATATAAACTTGACAAGTTTGCTTGTATGGATTACTTCATCCTTACTAATAATTTCATGAAAAGACTCAGTTCAGCTTCCATTCCAGTCAATGAAATAATGAGTGATGTGACTATGGAAATTTAGGATTAGAAAAGTGACTAAATCTGGAAGCCAGCTGGGGGCGTTGTGACAGCATTTGGGTCACACCCACCACCCCATGCAGCTGAGGGGTACAGGAGCTCATGCACAAACCCATTGGGGTCACACCACCCCACTGCAGAGGAGCTCATACACAAACCCCAGCACACCGAGGTGCCTGTGCAAAGCCATCTGAACACAGACAAGTGCCAGGCTGTACAGGGTACACAGACAATTATAACTATGCTATGAACCCACAAGTGCTCTTCCAGAACTGCAAGAGCAGGAGCAGCAGGAGTCTAAGAGGAATACAATGAGCATTGTTAGGGAAACAGAGAGTCTTGTGTGAACAAATATTAAACGATGCCGTTCACCTCAGTGATTCATTAATTTGGGATCTGCCAGAAGAACCCAAAGCAATGGAGTGTACAGGCAGAGTAAATCAAGTGCTCTCTCACAATACAGACAAGAGGCAGTTAATGAAATCACAAGGCTGCATTTAAATACATTAAAAACTGATTAAGTGGATGCTTTAACACGACATAAAATTAACCAGGACAATTCACTGGAGGAGAAGAGGAAGAAATTAGAAAATGGATACATTTCAGTGACTGACACACAAAGTCTGTGTGATCTCAGGTTTGAGGAAGCAGTCAGCCACTGCTGATCACAAATGGGGATTTTCCTGCTTTCTCTGAGCTGTTCATTGACCTGTGAGCAGTAGGACCTAGAACAGTCCTACTGGCAGGGGAAACGCTGAAAAACAGCCAGCACACTTTGCTGCAAATAGGAGTTACCCTGTGTGAAGTGAGCTGTAATGTGTCTGGTCTTAGACACAGCACTCCCAAAGCACTTAGGCTGAGCTTACTGCTCTTTCAGGAGGAAGGGCAATGACGATCATTAAAGAACGACTAAAGGGAACAGTTAAAACTGATACTTATTTGAACAGCCAAAATGCACAGACAAAAAAAAAATTAAACCTGGCTCCCTACACACATTAACATGACGGTACCATCATGCTCAGAGACAAGTTAAGAAGTTACTTAGGCTGCAGGACCAGCTTTGTACGATAGTGAGAAGCACATATGGAAAGCCGTCCAGCTGGATCCTGAGTTAGGTCTCAGACAGACAAATGCCAGGGATTTCCCAGCTCCAGGCTGTCAGAGAAGGGCTGACTTCTACCCTCTGTGAATATATGAACAAATCCTAACACAAAGCCAGCCTCAACTGCACAGGTCCCGCTCCTGGGTGACTGCTCAAACCTCATAGGCATTTTAATTTCCTGTTTCAGCAAATACTCGATACTGCACAAGCTTTCAGCAGCTCCCAGAGACCTCAGGAGGCATCTACATTCAATCACTGAAGGCTGGGCCTAGTTTATTCCATTTGCAAAGTTACCGGGAGCTTTAGTACCTGGAGTATGCAAGCATCCAGGCCCCTGCCTTGACCCCGCCTATCGCTCCCTGGAAACAGGAGCAGGGAGCTTTTACTGCTGCTGTCGCTCCGGGACCTGATCTTTACTGGCTTGCAAGACAAAGCTGACATGCCGTGAGAGGCAGCTAATGCCACAGGGTAAATCAATTTTGAGGCACTAGGTCAAGAAACTCCAGAGAACAGTCCTACACACCTGAGCATGGAGGCCCCTGCCCAAGAATAACACCGTGTCAGCCCCAGGCAGCTAACACACGGGAAAACTGTGCTATCAATCATGAAATAAATATACTCCCCCTGGCAAAACCAGGAGATACCTATGTCTAGACAGACAATCAAAATTACTGTGTTCCCACTGGATTTTTGAAAGAAAGAAATGTACAGTGCCACTGCCCCTCTCAGATGGAGCTCTACACAAAAATTAGAAGAAGCTGCTTTTATAAATCAAACCCAGATTTCTCTAAAAATTCTAAACCATTTCGCTCAGAGCTCAGCTGAAACACATCCAAGTGTAAGCATCTGGTTTTATCTTCCTAATCTGACAGGTAAAGAGCAGCTAACATCAGGATCCAGGAACCTTACTCCCACCAACCAGACTCATGCCTGATATCCAGACCAAGAGAAAGACAGGACAGATTGTTGACTCAACTCACACTTGCCAGACAAGTCTTAGCCAACTAACAGTGGAGAAGAAGAGGGGAGAAGAGGGGAGAGAACAATAAAAAAACAAACGAAAAAAACCCCCACAAAACTACACACACACAGAAAAACCAACCCAAACCCACAAACAAGATCCTTGTTATAAATCTGTATTGTGATATTGGCTTTCGCAGATGAATATTATATATTAAATACTTTTTAGCTATGCTAACAAGTCTTAAGTTTAAAAGAATTTCCTAGGTACAAGGCAAGGAAACCCCAGAGGGAAGGACACTGGGGCCCAAGCTGTTATCAGGAGAACAATAGAACCCAAACTGTTATCAGCGGAAGATATGAAGCCCAGCTGCCCTCAGGGGAAGGATGAGGGACCTGGACTCTTATCAACAAGTGACCATCTGCAGCAAAAAGGAAACCAAAACTCCAGAAATAATGCTGACCACCTAGAATAATGATGACCAGCAAAAATTATGCTGACCAGCAGAAAATAACATGATCCAAGAAGGTGGAACCAGGGAGGGGACATGCTTGAATATGCATTAACCCCTCACAGCAAGCATGGTATAAAAAGGGTGTTCCCAAGATACCAGGTGTGTTCCTGGCAACCCGCCAGGGCACCCGGCCGTTTTAACCCTTTGCTTTATTTCTTTTGTCTCCTAATTGTCTTTTGTTTATATTAAATTCTTTTTATAATTTATTAAGTGAATTTCGTTTTTAAGATCCTCAAGCAAAAACAAACAACCCCCAACCAAACCCTCATTTTGAAAAGGTTACAGTTGGGGATCTTCTTCTACACTCTCTTTTTCCCCCACAAGACTGTGAATAGAAATGTTAAGAGGAGCATTAAGAAGTTTCCCTTCAAGTTGTGATTGTCATAAGCAATGAGAAATCTTCAGTCTATGGTGATTTCTCTTAGTTTAAATGAAAGAGAATAAAGGGGAGCTCACTAGGATGCAGCACGAAACATTGATGTTTTACCAGCCCCTCAGGAAACAAAATGGCTGCAGCGGAAAACAAAATGGCCGCTGTACCACACGGCCCTAACGAGAGGCCTTTCCCAGAACATTGTCACGTAACACATTTCATCATCATATATGCCACAGAAAACCTAAGCTCTCTTTACATCCTTCTCTCTTAGAAACAACCTTTTGTCAACAGATTTCTCTTTTCTCTCTACCTGGAACTATTTGCTATCACTGCTCTTCAACGAGGACTCTGCATCGTCAGGGTTTTAACACTGAGACCTGATTTTACCAGAGATTTTCCCCAAGATTATGTCACAATGCTGGATCACTGGGGCCCAAAATCGGAGAAGTATTATTTACTCCCCCAAAAGATACAGAACAGATAGAAGAAGGATTGAAGAAAGAAAAAAATTACCTCAGATAAATCTTTTCTCGCCGCTGCTGGAAGGGTCTTCAGGCCACCCAGCTACAGCCCCTCTGACAGAAACCCCTCAGCTATAGCCAGCAACTACCATTACTTTGGCATTTCTTTTCCCTTGTTTTTTGCGGCGTTGAGTCCGAGCTGTTAAGAATTACCTGCGAATGTGTGTTTTCCAGCTGAGAACACAAGTCCTGCCCTCAGCCAAGGTGGCGCTGCCCCGGCCCGCGGGAGCCTTCCCCTCACAGCTCCGCAGGAGCGGCCCGGACCTGCGGCCTAACGAGTGGCACCTGCGGTACTGCACCAACGCACGGCTTCTTCCCCTCAAAACCTTCTTCTGCCTGCTAGAGCCAATGGTAAATTAAAAACCCCCACCTAATGCTACAGGGCTCTGAGATATGTATAAGGTTAGAAAACTTTGTTGTACTAATACAGTTTTTTATTTCTGTTATTGATGAAACTTAAAAATACTGGTGTAATACACATATATGTAAAGCTATACCATGATGTTAAAGCACAAAATACTTTGTGTTTATATAACCCAGAGACTGAAAAGATAGTCAGAGACATCCCCCGTGCATTATTAAAATTATCTTGTCCAGATGAAGACAGCAGTCCTCCAAGTCCCACAAGGGAAGGATTTATTGCATCCGAATCAGAGGATATAAAACCCAGTGGTGCCAAGAAGATTGATCTACTGGGAAGGGAGCAAGGTAAAAACTAAACAAAGGAACATCCAAAACTTAAGAGGAATGTTTGAATATGTATGAGAATTTATGGATATGTAGTAGGGTTCTGTTTTTAAGGGACAATCCTTTGTCAGTAAGGTGTGCTCTCTTGGCTGAATGCAGAGACACCCAGCCACATCTGTATATTTTACTTTATTTTTATCTCCTAATTGTCTTTCTATTAAAATTTTAAATTCTATATAAACAAATATGTGAACCTAATTTTTCACAGACTGCCACTCTTCGAACAAATATCTAAGTGTCTTAAGGGTATCTAAAACTGTGGCAATATAAAATATGCAACATACCAAAGAAAGACTTGCTTCTAATTCATTTTAATTAAAACATTTATTCACTACACTCAGATGTTAAGGATTTACCTTATTGCACTGATTAATACAGATCTTCCTTGTTTTGTACATTGTAATGGAATGCATCCAGTGATCAATATAAAACAGGGACCAATCTTAACAATTTTCCAAATAATTTCAATAGTGCAGGTGTTGTTTTAATATAGCTATAATATATTTTAACGTTCATATAGATTTGCCCTATTTTATACAGAGATTGGAACTTGCATTTCCAATGAATGTGTGACACTCATGTGACCATTTAGAGCCTTCTTTGTATTTGCCATTCTTGGAATAAATGGAGCTCTATGAATTTGGAATCAACAAACCTGGTCCCCATGGCTATTAAAATGTTTCTGAGAGTTAATGTTAACAGAAGAGACCAAAGAACTTGTAATTAGGCCAATAGTCTCCTGTTTCTGAACTGCAGTAAATTACCTGGAATTGTCCTTCAAGTTAGCATGTTTCCTTCTATTTCAAATTATTGAGAGATAAAGCTAGAGAGCTTCTAGAGCACTATGATAAGGAGAAAGTAACAGTGAGACATGAACTGATACAGCAGACATGCACTAAAGAAAGGTAAGAGTGGTAAGAGTTGTCAGAACAAGGTGCATAAACTCTTCAGTCTCGTGTTCTCAGATATGGTATTTCCTTATCTGTCTTCTTCCATCTACAAAGTGAAACTCTGAACCACAGTTCCTTGGCTTTGTTTTGACATAAATTAAGTATGAAGCTTGCTATTTTTGAAATAGTTGAAGGAGACCCTAAGTTAAATTTGTGCTAAAGATGGCAGGCCACTTTGCATTTTCCTGCTCTTTGCCTCCTTTCTATTTTGGGGATGTAAAACCATGAACAGTTTGATGGATTTCAACAGTCCAAGGCTATAGTGTAGTTTTGACCTTGCTATTGCTAAAAAGGAAGGCAACATCTGCTTCATGTTTCCCCTGTGCAAGCTTTATAGCATCAGCACTGAAAACTGCAGAAGTTCTGTTATTAACTACTGTACTTTATTTACCCACTGGTTTCTGACACACTGGTGGGCCCACCTTCTGCTGGGCCAAAAAGAGTGGACTGAGGAAAAAAGAATTGCTGCAAAGTATTTTAAAAAATCAAATCAGCACCATTTATAAAACACACTCTGAATTATTTCAGCAATTGGCACACTGAGAAAATGGTAAACTTCCATTTCTTCAGTTTTACCCATGAGCTGAACAAAAGATGCCTGTTAAGTGCATCACAGGCAGCTAAGCAACACTTTGTCCCCTTCACTGAATGGAACAAGGAATAAAACAAGCCCATTATTGAGGAAGAAGTGGGATAAAAGTGTGTAAACCTGAATAGTACACTCTATAGGCATAACAAACATTTTCAAATTAACTACTCTGTGCACTCTGCCCCTGAGAAACAAGCTCAGAACTTCTGAAGCTCCTGGAAACTCTGCTGATGGTTCTTCCTGCCTGGACTATCACAGCACTCTGTGGTCTTTCCACCAGAGATGAAGATCTTTATGCCTGTTTACAAGATCAGCTCCAAACAGATAGTCCAGTCTAACTCCCTACCTGCCTTTGATCACACTTCCCTACAGTGTTATCGAGTCACCAAATATATTCTTGGTATTAAAGAAACAAAGCAGAACTTCTCAACACGGGGGAAGCCTATTCAAGGTACAAATTCCCTTCAGACTCTAGCACAGAAAGCCTGCCTTCCCCACTTACCTAGCAGCACAGCATTTCCATTTCTGTGTTGCCTCTTGCTTTCTGAAACTTGGCAATGTAAATCCGCAGTGTAACTCATCCTCTCTGTGTCAATGAACCCAGAAGACCAGGTGAGAATTTTGGGTTGAATTTGGGTCAAACAGGGGTTGCTGCTAACAAAACACGAACAGTTTTATCAGTGATACAGAAGAGATTTAAGCAACTGCAGTTCCCTGAATAAACATATGCAGTACCTCTGCCCAGGACATTACACGGCTTTATCAAACTCATGTATTTCATTAAAGCTGCTAAAATATTTTCTGCAGCTTGCATAGATCTCCTCCTGCACATCTTCTCCAGCCGTTTCACAGCTCAGTCTGCACACGGACTACTGTACACACAGGCTGTAAGAGCACGCCCTGGCTTTGGAGGGGTATTTTCCTGCCTTAAAAAATGTGAGAATTCTGCTATTAAAGACTTTTCCTGAGAAATTTAAATTCAAAATAAATACTGACAAGCAGAAAGCTGATAAAATTGCCATCTCATTATAAAAGCACAACTGAAATACAGTAAACATAAAAACCCACGATGAACAAAAATCTGCAATGTCCTTTATTCCCTGCCTCTTTCAAGCCTCCCAAGTATTTTTCATCCTTCCAAGATACATTATCAGATTTCAAACTGGGATAACAGCCCTCTGAAAGGGTTTCATTTGCTGAATAATAATTCTTCCAAACATATTCAGCTGAGTTCTCTCACCAGGTATCTACTAAACAAACAGGATGTTGAAAATACTCTTCTCTGGCAAGCGCTCTCATTTTCTTTCAAAAAAAGGCTCATGCCCTCTCTCAAACAATTTTTTTTAAGATAATTCTCAACATGTGGGATTAATCATGGCCCAAAGCTTGCTTCTGCCACATGATTAACTATTTCTACCTGACCCAAAGGATGCAGGCCAAAACATTCCAGCCTTGATGCTCTTCCCTCATACCCTGTACCTAAAGCTGAGCAGGATGGGAAAAGGAGAGGGACTGCATTATTCACACTTTATAAGCCAAAAGCCAAAAAGTAATATGAGGAGCAATTTTTATACAGTTTGGTGATCTATTTTGTTTAAGAACTGTCCCAGAATTAAATTTCTCTGCATTTATCATGTCCCAAGGATGCAATGATTTATGCAGTGCATCAGATGCTATCACAAGGTTTCTCACATCGTAAACACAGTTTATAATGCATCTCAAGCATGATATGCACCACTAACAATTTCACTTGATGAAAGCTATCTTTATGCCTTTTATCATTCAGGCACGCTAGTGAGTTCCCCCAAAAGATTACTGAGAAGTCTAATAGACTAAAAACCTATTTCAACAGTTCTTTTCAATGAAGCAGTGTGAAATTCTGTATCTAAATGATCCTTCCCTTAATAACTCAGGAATAATCACACCCTCTTGCACTTGTGCCAGGCCACTAGGGTATTTTAACAAATTAATGAATTTATAATTTCATGAGAAGCTGTACCAGGAGAGAAATTATCCTTTGGAAAAAACACATCTACCTTGTATGAAAGATGTTTGCACTGAAGGGCTTGGGCCCTCTTCTTCCAACACAGAAGTGTAAATGAGGGGATTAACAAAAATAATCAGTGCTGTTAGCAAGAAACACCACAAACCATTGCAATCAACTTCTCTTTGATTGTAAGGTCATTTTCTAACAGAGTTCAACATCAGTGGAAACATCCAGTTACTCAGAGGATTTTCTTCCAGTTATTGATTTGGATATGACTCTACACCTCTTAAGTTCCAGGGAACGAGAGGGTTTTACTCTACTACTTAATGGAAAATGCTTGATATCCCACCAGAATTCCTTTCCTCAAGAGGCAGGGAGACAGAAGCCTCCCACAGACATTGTGGACCTACAGGAGGGTGTGGAAAGCAGCTCCCCTGTAACAGGCATAGAACATGATCAATAGAACAGCATATCAGAAACTGCTCACCCTCCTTCATCAGGCCTCACAGCCACCAGGACAGGCTACAGCACTCCCTGAGCTCTTCTGCTCACATCTGGAGGCTACACGTGGATGGAAGGAGGCCTGCAGGGAATGCCTGTGGCACACCCGAGGTGCCTGCAGAGCATAGTGCATCCCTGCAGAGCTTCCCAAGCACAGCCCCTGCCTGGGCTGGAGGCTGCTCTGCCCGTGTGTCACAGCCTGTGTCCCCAGGCTGGGCACCTCTGCCCGTGTGTCACAGCCTGTGTCCCCAGGCTGGGCACCTCTGCCCGTGTGTCACAGCCTGTGTCCCCAGGCTGGGCACCTCTGCCCGTGTGTCACAGCCTGTGTCCCCAGGCTGGGCACCTCTGCCAGCTCAGTGTGTCTTTGCCCTGACCCAGCCAGGTCTCCTTTCCCTACCCCAGGCCGTGCCCAGGCTGCAGTGGAATCAGGAATTTATCACAGGCGGCTGTTTTCTGGGCACACCTTTCAGGCCCATGAAGTCACACACATTACTTTGCTCTCCTTCCCAGCCTGAGCACACTGAGCCTGGAAAACTCTTCAATAAGGAGCTGTACTTTCTAAGCTGTAGGA